TGGATTTGGTTTTTGGGTTTGGTTATTTTTTTATGGTAGCACAGAAAGAGTATTTAAATCACAGTTTTCTGAGCCAGGGAGACAAATGTCATGGACAAGCTAACTAGATACATCAGTAACAAACTGAGTGCTCCTTTTCACTTTAGAAAATGCAGGGTACCTGCTTTATGAAAACTCTGGAAATTCTTTTTCCTTAATGTAGGATTCAGAAAGCTCCTCATATGAACAGGAATCACTTTCAAATTTGACAAATTTAATTGCACTAATGGATAACCAAAGAACAAACAATCCAAAATTCACTTCTTGCACATATTGTATTATATCAAACATTTGCACCATTATTCCTGTGTTTGTGAAAAAAATAAATTGAAATGTATAAAGAAAAGTAGATGCATTTGATAAGCTAAAGCAATGTGTGTGGGATATTCACCTTGACATCAGCATTCACAGCTTTGCCTTTGCACATATCTCTTGAGCTCTGCACACTGTTTGGTTTTTCACTGGAACTACATGTGCATAGTCCAAACAGTACTGGTTAGACAGATTATCTGTTAAAACAAGTCAGCCTCTAGGAGAAAAACGTGAGCAGATCCTCACCTATTTGTCAATGCATCATAAAGCCACCGAAATCTCTTAAAAATGCCTTAGGTCATAATACAAATGTGATTATGCTCAGCATGCCAGACTGATCAGTCACTCCACTTGTGTATTTCAAAGTAGAATTCTCTTTCAAATCACCTTTCAGATTTATTGCTCTCTCACACAAGAAGGAACATGACCATTTTCCATATTCAAATTCATTTTTTTGGTTCCAGATTTCTCTGCTAAAATCCTGTACATCTGTCATAGGCCTCCTTAACTGGCATAAGATAGAGCCACAGAAGTTCTTAAACACAAAATGTGTAGCCTAATCTTACATGGGAGTAAACATCACTTTGAATCTTGCATGAAAATTAGAGTTAAAACTGCTGTTAAATTACATGCAGAGATTTCAATAAAGCATGTAATAAACTGTTGCATTTTAAAATGGTCTGAGGAAAGCTGGATGAGTTCAACCTTGTCTGTTCTTTCCAGTATAACTATACATACATATAGATCCGTACATAGTTACAGCTGTAACTGATAAATAAACATACTTTTGCTAGTTGTCCACTTTGTAGAATTCAACACATATTGCCATGATCTGCCAAAAGGATCCGTGACCAATTCCTCATACCACTCAACTACGTATTCAGATGCTTCTGGTTTGGAGGCTGTCCATTCCACCACCACTTCTTCATTTGTCAGAGAGGTACTCACTGTTTCAATCATCTGAGAAGCTAAAGGTTTAGCAGAAAATATCAGCAATTCTATCTGCATAAAGAAACCCCTGCATTAAGAATAAAAGAACTGTCACAATTACCAGGGGAAGGGGCTGGTTATTAATGAGATGATACTCAAGGAGATTTACACATACAGAATCTAAAGACCAATCTCTCTTTAAGGATCTGAATTTTATAGTTTGCAAAATTTTACAAACCAATTTGCTACCAATTTTGCTGGTAGTGCAGATAAGCAAGTTTTGGCTGAGATGGCAAAGGCAATAGAACAGTAAGTCAGCAAGGTCATGAATGACAGTGAAAAAAGGTGAGCCGTCAGCCTGCAGAACAGAGGTAATGAAAGTCAGAGTGAAAAAACCCATGTGCCAAAGCAGAGTTAAAAAGACAAGAAGATGCAGAAGAAAAATAGTTGTATCTAGGGAGAAGAAAAAACATGCCACAGCATAGGAAAATCAGACTGACATTTATGATGGGATACAGAAGTGGACAGAGAGGTAGTCAGCAGCCTCCAGGACAAGAAGACATCACATCTACATTTCCAGTTTTCTGATTAGAAATGGAATTTGATTGAGCAGTTCCAGGGGGAGACTTGCACTTATGACAGGAACAACTGATGTAGAAACTGTTCAAGTGTGCCAAATGCAACCTCTCTTCCAGATCATGGGTAGGCAGCAGGATGTTGCAGTACAGGACTCTCAGACATATCACAATAAAAACTAAGAGCCAAAGAACACAACTGCTGTGCTAGAGCAGCCCAGCTGATGGTACCCTGCCAGTGGGTGGGATGGGGAACA